GGCGGGGGCGGGGCGGGGCGGGGCTGCGGCCTGACTCTCCCACTTCCTCGCCACCTGCAGCCAACTCCCCGCAGGGCGGCGGCCCCAGCACGCTTCCGGGTCTCCCGGCGCCCATCGGGGTCAATGGATTCGGCCCCCTGACCCCCCAGACCAACGGGCAACCTGGCTCGGACAGTCTCTACAATAACGGGCTCTCTCCTTACCCAGGTGGGCCCCCCCACCCGCTCCGCCCAAATCTCCCCCAAAATGGAGTGGGGAGCGGGGGTCTGGTGGGGGGCGGGTGGCAGGGCCTGGCCTCCTTGAGAAGGGACTCCTCCTCGTTCCCTGCTGCCTCTCACAGCCTCCCTCCACACTCCCTGCGTTCTCACCTTACCCTGCCCGCCCACCAGCCCACCTTCACTGTGGGCCTTGCGCCCCTCTCTCCCCAGCCCAGAGTCCCGGCGTGGCTGACCCCCTGCAGCAGGCCTACGCTGGGATGCACCACTACGCAGGTTTCACTTGGCGCTACGCGGCCTGGGGGGTTTGAAGGGCCCCAGAAAGTAATAGGGAGATTTGGGGGTGGGGGGGGTTAGGCTCTGTGCTGAGGAGTCCGACCCTCCTTTCGCCCACCCTTGGACCCAGAACGACCTTTCTAGGGGTGAGGGTTACTGTGCACTGGCTGAGTTGGTCAAAGGTGGCCAGGCAGATGGGGCCCTGATTGGGGGTGGCTTCTGGGGGTCACTGCCCACTCCCACCTCTGTCTCCAGCAGCCTATCCGTCGGCCTATGCCCCAGTGAGCACAACTTTTCCCCAGCAGCCTTCAGGCCTGCCCCAGCAGCAAAGAGAAGGTGAGGGACAGGGGTCTGGAGATCAGGGCCTGGTGGGGCTGGACTCAGGATTCCTCCCCTGAACCAGCCTGCTCCTGTTCCTGCAGGCCCCGAAGGCTGTAACCTCTTCATCTATCACCTGCCTCAGGAGTTTGGTGATGCAGAACTCATCCAGACATTCCTGCCCTTTGGAGCCGTTGTCTCTGCCAAAGTCTTTGTGGATCGAGCCACCAACCAGAGCAAGTGTTTCGGTGAGCTGAGCCCCATCCCTAGGCCTCTCCCACTCCCAACTTCGAGATTCCTTACATACCCTAAGACTGTACCTCCGGAAGTCAGTGATTCCTAGAAACTGAGTGTATAGCGCTCAACAGGGTCACAGACCAGTGATGAGGCTAAGCCCAGACCAGGAACAAGTCTAGTTCAGGTTCACCTGGGAAGGTCAGGTGTCTGGTAGATCTTCAACCAGGTTAGGCTTTAGAGTCTAGCCAGGGCAGGTGGAGTCTGGGTCTGGGACCAGAGATCCCCTCCAACTGCAATTCAGAGGACCAGAATGGGGGCTGTGGAGAGAGTGAGTTTTCCCACGCCAGGGAAAGACAGGGAAACACCCCATCAACACACTACCTGCCTCCCCAATACACACACTCAGAATTACCTCCTGTCCTTCCAAGAATCACACGTTTAGGAAATTCAGGCCATTTGCCTGTGTAAGTACGAGCATGTGTCCGTGTGTGTGCACACGTGCAAACACTGGAGGGTGGAGGAGTACTGATTGATGGAACTGGCCTGAGGGGGCAAGGAGAAGGGGCTGGTCACAGAGAAAGGAGGCCCTGCCACGCAGAGTTCCCAGCTAACCTCTCTGCACACACCCTCCAGGGTTTGTTAGCTTTGACAATCCAACCAGTGCCCAGACAGCTATTCAGGCCATGAATGGCTTTCAGATTGGCATGAAGAGGCTCAAGGTCCAGCTAAAGAGGCCCAAGGATGCCAACCGGCCTTACTGATCTACTCTCACTGACCAGCCACAGAAAGGTGAGTCCTTAGTGGACCCCCGGCAGATGGGGCCTGAGTGATGTAGGCTCTCTCAGCTTTGATATTCCTTTTGGGATGCTGGGAGCACTGACCCCTGAAAAAGTCTGGGAGAGAAGAGCCAGGAGTTAGGAGGAATCCTCAGTCTGAGGCTGTTTTTCCTTCAATCTAAGGGCTGAGATAAATTAGACAACATTCCTGCCCCCACAGTCTGGGAGAGACAATTACAGTAATATCCAACCAGTTCGTTCCACTCCAGAGATAGCCACAGGGGACCATAGTAGAGAATTCCTGTGTGGGGAGGGCAGGGGGGTGGAGAACAGGACTAGAAAAGTAGGTTTGTGCTAGCTTGTGAAGGGTCTTAAAGGCCATGAGTTTGGACTTTATCCTGAAGATGGTAGAGGACCACTGAGGAGTTTATGCAAAGAAGGGACAGGATGTAAGGGCTGGGATAATGGCAGTGAACATGGAGATGAGGAGAGAAGCAAATACACTGAAGATGCAGGATCTACAGGGCGTGGTGGTGATGGGGAGGGCTATGACAAGCTCTCAGGTTTCTGGCAGGGCCGGCTGCCTGCGACTTTTAGAGATTGCTGTCTCAGAAGATCCACAGGACCCTGCCTCACTTGAACTACCCCCAGTGAGCACTCTGGAGGGGGTGCTGGGCTGAGGTCATCTGCCCAGGACCCAGGGTCTGGCTTCAGTGGAAGCCTGAGGTCCAGCCACTCACCTGAACCTGATGTCCAGCCACTCACCTGTCACGGATAGGGCAAGCTGCTCTTCTTGTCTTGCCCTCCAGAGTGATTTTTTCCTTTTTTTCCCTTTCTCTCTCCTTATCAATTAATACCCATCATTGGATACTGAAGAGTGAGAAGAAAGGAAAAGAAAAGCACAGAAATGCTTGAGCAGCCCTTCCTGAAGGAGCAGCCACAGATGGAGGTGGACCCAAGGCCAGTGCCTGGGCTCAGGCCACTTTAAGGATTGTTTTCACCAAGTGGGTTGTTCTGTGCCTGTGATGTAGAGCTCAGGCTGGCAAGGCAGCTGGGGCTGGCTGAGGAGTGACTGTCTAGGGGAACCAGGAGAGGGCCTTGGGGGGTGCCAAGGACTTCTCCACAAGGGAAGCCCAGATTTAGTTCTTTCAAAATCAGATCATTCCTTAGAGTTTAGGGACCAAAGGACTATTGCTTTTTAAAGAATTATAGAATTTTATATATATATATATATATATATATATATATATATATATATATATATATAAAAATTAAAAGAAAGAAACAAAAAAATCACAAGAGAAACAAAAAGGACAGTATAGAGTCTAATAAAAGCTGCCTTTAAATATCCCTAGGAGGCAGGGTGAAGGAGACCCTTGAAGGCCCCAGCCTAGGCAGAGGAAGGCTGTGGAAAGATTGTTCTGTGTCTCATACCCTCTTAAGGCCCCCCACCTCCACCCCACCACCTTTTAAAAATAATGAAGGACTTGAGGTCTGGGCTCATATGCAGGTAACAGAAGATTTATTGAAGCAGTGAACCCACAGTTCCCAAACTCAGAGAGCATCCATGAAGAGGCCTCAAGGAGGAGCTCTGGCCTGCCCTGCTCTTTGCCACCCCGAAAAACCCCTTAAGCCAGCAGGGGTGGGAACCTGCCCTTCCTTCTTGACAGCCTTTCCCGTGGAACCACTGCTTCCTCAGGCAGGAAGAAAGGGAGTTTGGACTGCCCCAGCCTTTCCCTTCCCCATCCAGTTAGACAGAGGCCCTGCCTTTGGCTGAGCCGAGACACCTCCTGTTTCCCCTCACCTTGAGCCAGCCCCAGTGTCCCCTCGCTCCAGACCACCTTCTGTCTCTAAGTCTAAGTTTGCCCACCGGTAAAGTAGATTCAGGATATATGTAGAGGGCTGTGACAACAGACCTGGAAGGTTCGCTACTGTATATACTGCCATTGAGAAGGGGATAATTCTCAATATGTAGAAGCTTCAGAATTTAGAGGTCCCTCTTTACCCAGGACCTGGGAGGGAAGTAGATGTTTTGCCAAAACACTTCATCATTCCTTTAAAAAGTACATCTTTCCTATGCAAGAGTGTCTCAATGTGCTTATCCGAGGTGCTTCTAGATGGTGAGCAGTGTTCAGCTTAGAAGTGGTGTGTGCTCTCTGTCTGTCTGTCTTTGTCTGTCTGTTGTATACAGTGGGTGCCATATAAAGCTGATCAATGGTGGTGCTTCCTGCCTGCTTCTGTGAGATGGGCAAAAGATTCAGCTTAGAGCACCATGACTCACTTGCCTTGGTCAGCCTTTCCTGGGCCTGCAGGGCCTTGCACATAACTTTTCCTAGGAGGATAATTTTCCCTCTACCCCACAGACCTGGATCAAACTAGTCTGGGGCCCCAGCTATGTGGTGGGCACTCTGGTCCCTAGATGTTGCTGAGACTGGAGGCCTCTGATCTGATATCACATCAGACAATAAAGCATGTGGGGGCGGGGGCGGCGGGTTCCTCCTTAATAAGAGTTTCTAAGAAAATTTGTTCCCACCTGTTCCTCTGTCTTTGACTCGTTTTTGGAGGGAATGGGATGAAAAATAACATTTCCAGGTAAGGTGCGGTAGTGCACAGGGCTGACACGTAGACTGACCACCCTGGACACAGATGGGAATGTTAACACCTGCACATTCAAACAGCTGTTCACATGGAGGCATAGAGACCCCTCACTGCTAGGTGCTAAGCACTCAGAGTTGGGGGAAGGACAGTCTGATAATGTAGTTATAATGGAGCGCCCCAGGGAGTCTGTGATAGCAAGAAGAGTACCTAATTCAGACGTGACTGGTAAGGCAGGTCAGAGAAAGGTTTACTGAAGAAGACGAAGGAGGGGAAGGGTCTTCGAGAATGAACTGGCACATTTGCACAAAGCCATTTGGACATCCGCATCATGCTGATAAATTATTAACAAGAAATCATAATGATTACCTTTTATTCAGTGCCAATTATGGGGCAGACAGTGGGCACCAAGATAAGACCCTTTCCCATTTCTAACTCTACCCTGAGCCTTAACTCATCGAGTCACGTCAAGACACAAACCAAAATGGCATTTGAAGTATCTTGTTTCATGGTTAGGGGCTGGCAGACCATGTATAAATGCTGCAGAGGTTGGCAGGATCTAGATCAGGGGTTGGCAAACTATGGCCTGTGGGCAAATCTGGCCTACAGCCTGCTTTTGTATGGCCTACAAATAAGAATGTTTTTTTATATTTTTAAAGGACTGTAAAGATAAAACGAAAAAGAATATGAGACAGAGACCATATGTGGCCCACAAAGCCTAAAAGATTTATCTGGTCCTTTAGATAAAAAGTTTGCTGATCCCTATAAGCTCATGGAAGACATGTATAATGTCTAATGAGTTTAAGCAACAGTGGTGTTTGTGTCTCTGTTGTGTGTGCATGTGTTAGTCCAAATCCTTTCAGCTGCAAGTGTCAAAAACCCAACTCAAACATGTTTAAGCCAATAGGAAATTAGTTGGCTTACCTAATTGATAAATCAAAGGATGTATCTACCTTTAGGCACTTTATCCTGAAGATGGTAGAGGACCACTGAGGAGTTAAGCAAAGAAGGGACAGGATGTAAGGGCTGGGATAATGGCAGTGAACATGGAGATGAGGAGAGAAGCAAATACACTGAAGATGCAGGATCTACAGGGCGTGGTGGTGATGAGGGGTTCAAATGATGATGTCTCCATCTCTCGGCTCTGCTTCCTTCTATTTGGTGGCCTCACTAGTTCCAGCTCTAAAGACCTTGGGAGGACTTTGGCCAGAATGGACATGTGGCTACCTCTAGGGTGGAAGAGTAGGCCACTGTAATTGACAACTTCACAAGGACTGTGTGGAGGGGAGAACTGGGTCTTCAAAAGGAGGGATGATGGGCAGATAAGCAATTTGCATCCACAGTATTCCTCCCCTTTATTGTTCACCTTCCACCTATACTTTTCTTGACAAACATACACTTTCAAAAATGTGCCTGCCTAACAATGCAATGTTCCTAGGCCCAACAAAAAACAGTCACCCACTTTTGAATAGGAGACAAAACAGAATCATGCCCAGTTGCTTTATTGAGCCCTCAGTCCAGGGTCCCTTTGTGATGTGCAGTTCTTGATCAGGTCTGGATATAACTTCTTGTGATTTTGCAATCTCTGGCTTAAAGATAAATTTAGCTACCCCTACATAACCAATATGGAGAGAAATAGGGTAACCATTTTTAAAAAGTTGAAAAAACCCTTCCATTTGGAATAGGGGAGAACAGAAAACAATGGTCACTAATCTATAGCATATAGCACATCCTTCTGGACAGTGGAGCAAGTTTCTTCGTCAACAAAACTGATCACTCTTGGTCCTTTCCACTGGGAAATATCTCCCTCCCTCCCTTCTCAGCCCTGAGAAGACACCTCTTCTGGAATTGAATCATCCACCCTCCCTTTAGACATGGGTTTGGACCTAAAGATTGCCTTAGAGATTATGCCTTCCCAGATCCCCGATTGCCTGGTGAGGATTCTCTGGACAATTCCTTTCAAACCAAGTGATTTGATTCCTGGGCTCTCTGTGAGCTAGTAACCATCGTCAAGAATCTTGCTGAGTTCTTGTCCTTGAGTCTGGATCTGGCCCTTGTGGTTTCTGTCTCTTAGCAACAGGTCACACTTGGCCCATTCCCCTCCCCCTCAGCTTCATGGTTTCCACGATAGCCTGTCTGTGATAATAAGTCAACCTTAATCTGCTCAGTGCCCTCAGAGGGAGATTACCTATATAACACTTGGCTGGCTCACCCTCCAGTGACCCTGACTAGATAGTCAAAATCCCTAAGTGGTACTGGCTCCTAGGTCTCAGCCCCAAGGCAATGCTTAGGACAGGAGTGAGGCAACCACACAAGCACTCATTCTGGACAATCTTCAGCTTGCTCCACTCCTCACCCGCTGGCTATGGTCCATTATTACACTAAGGCCA